ATGTGTATATTATTTTTATTTTTTCACAATTTCTGTTTAATGGAGAAGATTTTTTCAACACATTTCATTTTAATAACTGATTTCTAATAACTTTTTTTTATCTGCATTGATGACAGTACACAATTTAACTAGATTTTTCGTGACACTTCTATACAGTTTAAAGTGACATTTAAAGGCTTAACTAGATTAAGTTAACTAGGCAGGTTAAGGTAATAAGGCAAGTTATTGTATAATGATGCTTTGTTCTGTAGACTATCGAAAAAATATAGCTTAAAGGAGCTAATAATTTTGACCTTAAAATGTTTGTTTTTAAATGTAAAACTCCTTTTATTCTAGCCAAAAGAAAACAAATAAGACTTTTTCCAGAAGATAAAAATATTATCAGACATTCTGTTAAAATTTCCATGTTCTGTTAAACATTATTTTAGAAATATTTAAAAAGAAAAAAAAAATCAAAATAGGGCTAATAATTCTGAACTCTTCTGAATATAAATCTTTGTATTGACATACCTGAAAATGTATGTAAACATGCAAAAAAAATACAAATTAAAGTATATATTTTATTATTGCTATTAGTAGTGCTTAATATACTACATGTACGCAGTAGTGGCCAAAAGTGAAACTGAATGGGGCTTATTTGACCCTAAATGACCCCAAGTTTGATCCTAAATGACACTGCAGTTGTGAGAACTGAAATGCTCATGTTTATTTTAGTGCCACAGTACTGATTTTGTAACTTCCTTTCAAACCACTATCAGATTACTGGTCTGAACTTCAATTAAAACAGTAAAAAAGCGGCCTCGCGTGACTTTGCAGAGAAAGAGAGTTTATAATGCGCATGAAAAGTTTGCAAACATTAAAACGCTGGTTATGTAACAGACGATTATCTACTGTAGTTTCTGGTTGACGTGCCACAGTTGCGCGTGCATTGACTCAGCGCCACATGTCACTCCAGCAGGGCTGCAGAGAAGAGTTTGAGCCCGGCTCCTGGAGCACCTGCCCCGGCTACTCACACACACGCGGAGCCCGGTGATCCGCCTCGGCCTGGAGGCCCCGTGCGCGCAGTTCTGCCTCTGGAAGTGTTTATTTGCATGCATCATTCACCGCGTGCATTAAAACTCAATACATCTGGCCACAAAAAGCCGTAGGATCCAATCATGCAACTAAACATGGAGAGCTCCAGCCCATGCCAAAGCTTCTAGACACACCTCTTTTCCCCCCTCACTCTCTTTTCTCTCTCGAGTTTACGAGACGCTTGAAACGCATGGGTTTGCATTCGCGCACGGCTGACCCCCGGTTACGTGCAGCGTTGTTTTGATTACTCACGCGTCAAATTTGTTGTTCATTATTTTCTAGAAGAGTGTCTGGATCCGCTCTCGCGCCGACGGTCGGCAGCCCGTCAATTCCGCAGCAACGGCGGCGCGCGCTAGTGGTGGCTGCGGGCGCGCGCACCACAATGTGGTGGGTGACGCGCACGCTGAGAATATTTCTGTTTTACAAAGGAATGGCAGTATGGAAGCATATGAGTAGCATAATTCAATTCAAAATGTAATATGCAAAATGGCAATGCAATATGTTAAATGGCAATGTATTTCTGTATTTGAATTTGCATTTTCCAAGACATATGAGCAATGTTTGGTGCAGAATGAAAATGTAAATTAAATTACATTGTTTGCATTTCTCATTTCAAACACTGTTTTAATATGTTAATTGTATCCACATTTTAAAGCTTTATAAGTAGCAAAATTAAATTGAAAATGCTATACACAAACTTAATTTGATGAGAATAAAGTACAAGCAGAAACTGTAGCAAAATGATAATTTAAATGTTATTTGTCCTAAATGCATTTACGCTCGCGTCTAGGAAACGCAGGATTACATTTTCAGCATAACAGCATGGGATGTGTGTAGCAAAATTAATTTTGAAATGTAAAATGCAAAACGATAATGCAATATGTAAAAGGCAGTGTATTTCTGTTTTTCAGTTAGCATTTTCCAAGACATATGTGCAATGTTTGCTGCAGAATGAAAATGAAAAATAAAAAAAACATAATGCATTTTCATTTAACACATCGCGACGAATGAAAGCCGATTTGAAATTGAAAATGCATTCTGGCCTGGCCACGCCCACAGACGGCCACCGTTGCTGCAAGGCGGGTTTTAGGTTATGTCGTCACAGCTGCCGCGAGGACTATTAAGGACATTTGGCAGCATAAACATGGCGAAGTCTGTTCCTCAGCGGCTTCGTGAAGCTGCACGAGCCCTCGAGCGTGAACTGGGAAATACTTTAGAAAAGCAATCACCTCCTAGCTCAGTAAAGTTGGCCTTAGGTTTGATATTCGCGCACGCAGTTTTAGGGATCATCTGCGATTTACATCAACAGAACCAAAACGCACAGTAACGCAAAGCAGAAAAAAATTGAGGAGATTCCAATAAATGGTTAGAGGCCAGACTGATTTAATACAGGTAGCAAAGCTACTATACCTCTAACTATATGGTACATACAATGCAGAAATAGGCAATAGCTCTTGTCATAAGCATACAGTACACATCAGCTAAAGCCCCTTTAGGTTCTGTCGATGTAATTTGCAGATGATCCCTAAAACTGCGTGCGCGAATATCAAACCTTAAGCCAAGTTTACTGAGCTAGGAGGTGATTGGTTTTCTAAACTATTTCCCAGTTCAAGCTCGAGGGCTCGTGCAGCTTCACGAAGCTGCTGAGGAACAGACTTCGCCATGTTTATGCTGCCAAATGTCCCTAATAGTCCTCGCGGCAGCTGTGACGACATAACCTAAAACCCGACTTGCAGCAACGGTGGCCGTCTGTGGGCGTGGCCAGGCCAGAATGCATTTTCAATTTCAAATTGGCTTTCATTCGTCGCGATGTGTTAAATGAAAATTCATTATGTTTTTTTTTCATTTTCATTTTCATTCTGCAGCAAACATTGCACATATGTCTTGGAAAATGCTAATTGAAAAACAGAAATACACTGCCTTTTACATATTGCATTATCGTTTTGCATTTTACATTTCAAAATTAATTTTGCTACACACATCCCATGCTGTTATGCTGAAAATGTAATCCTGCGTTTCCTAGACGCGAGCGTAAATGCATTTAGGACAAATAACATTTAAATTATCATTTTGCTACAGTTTCTGCTTGTACTTTATTCACATCAAATTCAGTTTGTGTATAGCATTTTCAATTTAATTTTGCTACTTATAAAGCTTTAAAATGTGGATACAATTAACATATTAAAACAGTGTTTGAAATGAGAAATGCAAACAATGTAATTTAATTTACATTTTCATTCTGCACCAAACATTGCTCATATGTCTTGGAAAATGCAAATTCAAATACAGAAATACATTGCCATTTAACATATTGCATTGCCATTTTGCATATTACATTTTGAATTGAATTATGCTACTCGTATGCTTCCATATGGCAGAGGCTGTTAACACACAGTATTCTAAAAAGGTCCATACTTAAAATAAGCCCCAAACATTTTCTAAATCATCTTTGTTAGAAATAATAAAATATTAAATATGTAAATATACATTTATAAAATATAATATATACATGTTTTACAATTTCCTAATATACACTCACTGGACACTTTATTAGGTACACCGTACTAGTAGCAGGCTGGACGCCCTTTTGCCTTCAGAACTGCCTTAATCCTTCATGGCATAGATTCAACAAGGTACTGGAAATATTCCTCGAAGATTTTCGTACATATTGACATGATAGCATCACGCAGTTGCTGCAGATTTGTTGGCTGCACATCCAGTGAACTCATTGTCATGTTCAAGACATGTCACTTTATGACATGGTGTATTATCCTACTGGAAGTAGCCTTCAGAAGATGGGTACACTGTGGCCATAAAGGAATGGACATGGTCAGGAACAATACTCAGGTAGGCTGTGGCGTTGATATGATGCTCAATTGGTCCTAATGGGCCCAAAGTGTGCCAAGAAAATATCCACCACACCATTACACCACCACCAGCAGCAGCCTCAACTGTTGATACAAGCCAGGATGGGTCTCTGCTTTCATGTTGTTGATGCCAAATTCTAACCCTTCCATCTGAATGAGGCAGCAGAAATGGAGACTCATCAGACCAGGCAATGTTTTTCCAATCTTCTATTGTTCAATTTTGGTTAGCCTGTGTAAATTGCAGCCTCAGTTTCCTGTTCTCAGCTGAAAGGAGTGGCATCCGGTGTACTCTTCTGCTGCTGTAGCCCATCCGCTTCAAGGTTTGACGTCTTGTGCATTCAGAGATGCTCTTCTGCATACCTCGGTTGTAACGAGTGCTTATTTGATTTACTGTTGCCTTTCAATCAGCTCAAACCAGTATAAAATTGTTTAGAATTTTCCAAAGTACTTAATTAACTTGTGGGTTTAAATTAATCCAATGACAGGAAAACTTGATCAGGATGACAGGATTGATCAGCGTTAAATAAGCCAAGTCACTGGAGAATAAATGCTAATTAAATTTTTTAATAAATATGGTAAAAAAAGAGTTGTTTATGCAATAAACACTGTCTAACATAAGTCATAAAGGAGCATAAACCATATAAATTTCAAATAATTTATTGAATATTGCCACACGTTCAACAGACGCACATACTGTATGAAAGAAAGGCTCAGAGCTACACATCTGCCTGCTGACCCTCACAAACACAGACTGTTAGTGAGGACTTGATAACTAACTAATACTCTTTATTCGTTCTCTGCATCCTTGTTTCTTTTCTCTCTCAATTTTTCTATCAGTCTCGCACTTTTGCTGCTGGTTTCTGGTATGTAATTTTAAATACCAGACTGCAGTATAAGCCATAGGTTCATATTCAGCTGTGTTTACAACCAATACCCACGTTTTACCCGTTTTTACATAATCTAGTAGATAAAACACTTGAGGATGAACACTACTTGTTATTTCTGAGTTTTGAACAAAAAAACAAAAGAAACTATAAAATAAAATTAATAAAAAATAAAATTAAGAATCTGTAATCATTCGTAATAAATAAGAGCATTCAGAACAAATATAGCATTACTAAACTTTTACAGTGCATTATCCAAAACAATAAGTAAAAAAAAAAAGATTAACATGTAGTAACGTAAGTTCCAACTTATAATTTGGATTAGATGGCCATATTTGAAGGTGCTGTAAAATTATATATATATATATATATATATATATATATATATATATATATATATATATATATATATATATATATATATAAATATAAAGTTTGAAAGCTTATGATTATGAAGTTATTGCCTCCTAAAAGAAACATAGGCTGTAATTCCAGTTCAACCCTATTGATAATTTGTGAATTTACTACTGTAAATATTACAAATACTCAATTTTTTAGTAATGTGCATTGCTAAGCACTTTGTTTGAACAACTTTAAAGGAAAGTTATGAAACTTTGGATTCCAGATTTTCCAACAGTTATATCTTGGCTTAATATTGTCCAATCCCAACAAACCATACATCAATTAAGTGCTTATTTATTCAGTTTAAAAATGGAAATGTACGAATTTAGGTTTTGGATTTAGGATTTTAGAAGATTTTGAGGTCCAAGCTCATATATATATTTCTTAAAGGGATGGGTATACCCTGATTTATTATATACCCTGTACATTATATTTAGTATATACCATGATTCACTGGTGGCATTTGATAGCTGTTTGTAGCGATGTGCACCGACGGCTCCATCAGAGATCAGCTCAGTGAACGAGACTCTTGTCACCATCTGATCCACTTTTCTATCGTTTCATCACAGAGATACAGGAGACCTGTGAGAGGAGACACACAGAGATAAGAGCATTTCAATAAAAGCACAAAAGCAGTACAGTGAAGAGAAGTGGATATGCTGTAAAAGAGAATTCAGATCTAACAATGACAAATACTGTTCAAGCAAACAGTGATTTAACAGCCTAGGAAAATTGCACAGCATATTATGTCCAGATTCATGTCATTCATCTGAATGCGAGTTTTTAGTGAGAGAAAAGATTGGTACCTCCTGAACGGCACGGCCCAGAAGCTCTTGACTCTGCATTGCCTTCCTGAAGAGGACGACAAAACAGCAAAAATTTCCATTCATGAAAATACATTTTACCTTTATTTTTGCCATAACACCTATATATTTTCAAACTGCAGTAAGTTAACTTAATTTATTAGAGCATGACTACATACAGGGTCAAATTAAAGACTTTTTAAAACACGTTTAAGACCATTGTTTATTTTATATTTTAAATAATTCGTCAAAACAAACAAGCAAACTTTACTTGTATATATACAGATTTTTATTTGCAACGTAACTTATGTTTTGTTAAAAGTGTTATTGAGATGGATTGTTGTGATTGGATGGGTATTGGCCCAACTGGGTCATGGACTTCGCATAAAAATTTAAAGACCTACACCATATTTGA